TTGGAGAAAAAATATCCATTGCATAAAGCAGACAAAAGTCAAAGGATTCAAAACAATTGGGAGCCAACGAGAACGTCTAATTTTGTTTTATTATCTAAGTGGTCACGAACTGTGACTAGGACACCAGTTTTGAATCATGTAGAGCAGCATCAGAAAAGGCTAGCGGAAGATGGAAATGGTTGGTAGTTGGTACGGTATTTCTTTATTTACGTATTTTTTTATGCAATAGACGGTAAATGAGCAGACGGGTCACCTGATAGTAAGTGGTTACCGATGCTTGTGGATATCTGCAACTTAAGAAAGACAAATGTGTTGAAATGTTCAGAGTCAATTCCGAATTGAAGGTTGGGGTTCTAATTACCTCACTCACTCGGTGGAAAGCAAAGAAAGAATATTATGGCAACTCCCACATTCAAAGAAACAGAAACATACTACAGCGCCATCTAACGAAGACATACAGAACTACGGAGTAACTCCGAAATGAGAATCGCTAAACCTGTATCGCGATATAAATAATTCTTTCGCCGATTAGCATAAATACACCTTAGCAAACATCAACCGTTGAGATATCACAAATATCTTTACACCGACTTTTCTGTGAGGTATTGGTACTTAACTTACTCTTTCTGAGTACTCTTTGACTGCACGGATGGCGTAGAGGCTTAAGCGGTCACCTCACCGATTCCTACACACGGTATAACACTTTGTGTGATCAACAAACTGCTGTTGTACTTGTCTTGTTCAACTTCACTCCTTTATGTCAATATTAATTAAAACAGCGTTTTGTATAACTCGCAGCACACAGGATTGATAATTTATAATTTACAATATTCGGCCTATTTTCGGCTTCTAGATATCAGCCTATGCGTCAAGCATCCGGCATTCAGTGTCTAGCTATGAGTACAAAAGACAACAACTCATTTCTACTGATAGTTCAATGAGATTCTAGAGCACATTTTGGTATTATCCAATAATTTATTTGAAATTATTCTTCTGATTATGTAATTCTTTTTATGCGTAGTAGAGATGTTCCTCTATGGAAGAAGAAGAGTATTTCAATAGTTAATTTTGTAGATAACGAACCTAAAATTTGTGTGAACCTCTGCAAATAGCACATGCTTACTTTATCTTTGATTTTTACAGTACGGTCTTGGACGTTTAAGCCTTCGACATATATAATGAACCAAGAGCCTCATACAATAAGCGAAGAACATATAAATACATTGAAATTATATCCAGAGACAGACAAATCTCTGTTGCCATGGTGGGAATATGAGATGAGGGACGTAAATAGAACACGGAACATAATTAAAGAGAAACAACTTCGACAAGTACCTCAAAGGACAATCTTAAAATCTGTTTTAATTTTATAAGTACATATAATTCAAATTTGCTAAATTTAAAATGATAACGTAAATAACCGTTCTCTCTTATCTCACACATCTCACACGCGGTAGTCTGATTCTAAACTTGGCAAAACCTGTGTTATGGTAACCAAACTGCTGATCAACATGCATATTACAGATAAATGAAACCCCGACACAGAACAAATGATCGTGTTCACATCACATCAACAGCCTTTACCAGTCCACTGCTGGACATAGGCCTCTCCTTAGAAAGGAGGTTTTGGCCTACCATACCTCGCTGGCCAGACGGGTTGGTATAGGGTTTGTGTCAAGTTTTCCTTCTCTCTGCAGTGATGTTGTTATGCGTAGTTTTTTTCCCTTAGTCGCCTCTTACGACACCCACGGGATGAATAGGGGAGGTGACACTCTGTATTCTTAATCCGTCACCACACGGAGCTCGTCATCGTGTTCATTGCACAATTATCCTGGGTGGTAATTAATACATATACATAATAATGTAAGTCTATTTTGCTAACTATAACTTTAATCCCCGTAACATGGTAGAGGGTAAAGTTATTGGCGTGATATAGGTCCTTTAGGATATAAATAGGAGGATATATATATATATTATAAGAAAGTGAAGTTTGTTTGTTTGTTACCCTCTCATTAGTAAACCACTAAACCGATTTTCAAAATTCTACTACTACTTTTTACCGTGATAACCGACGTACACGCAGGCGGAGCGGTGGCAAAAGCTAATACAATTTAAAGGAAATACTCCGCCACTGTGCACACTTTTTACCTCGCACTACCAATCCACGGAACAAATTGTCGCCTGCGTTATTTCCAAACCGATACGACCTTTTTGAAACCTTCAAGAAAAGAGCGTACTCTCTCCTCAATGGCCAGCCCTTGTGACTCCTTATTTACACGTGTCCATGGGTGGCGCTAGTTACTTTCCATCAAGTGACCCGTCTGATCGTTTGCTGCACAGCAATACAAACTTTTTGAGTTTTTAAAGTGTACATAAACCAACTCAACATTTTTATATGTAATACAGGTTACTGGGTCAGTCGACCTAGATACTTTAACGAGTTGTAGATCGTCAAAGAAAATAAAAATTTTGCAAAAGTATTTCTTGTTGCTATTATGAACCATGTACTTCGGCTGTTAACTACATTTTTAGTTATGGAAATTATAAAACAATGTATCGACTATATAAAATCAAAAGATTTAAAGGAAAAAATTGTGGCAATTCAGCCTGTCTTCTGGGAACGCTAACAGTAGGCGATGATGCGGAGGAATTTTTTGATGCTTGTATGTAAATAGATGTAATACGTAAACGTATAATAGTGTAAATGTTGTAAATATTTTAACTTAATTAATTTTTATTCTTAATTTCATTTATATTTTTGTACTAGATATGATTATGGATTAAAGTACCATTGCTCCTTGTATTAAAAAAAAAATGTATTACGCAATATATCGGCAATTTTTATAAAAAATCTTAAAAGTCTAATATCTTGAAAATGGTTAGGTTTAGTGTAAGGTATTTTTAGTGAAATCTATCCAAAATGATGGCAACTACAACCCTTAAAATTTTTAAGTTGACTAACCCTGTATATAGAAAATATAGTATCATTATATCTAAGAAACGTTGATATAGAAAGTCTTTGATATTAACTCTGCCGCTATAAATATTGTACACAAAGTATTAAATGAAATATAAATCAATAAAACTCCAATACACATATCTTGAAAACATTTATAGACACAGATAGGTCATTAGCATCTAAATGTACGATCAGTGTAAGTTGTTAGTAGACAATTATAAAATACTTATACATGAAAATTGAATAAATAAAAGCTTTACCAAGTTGCAAAGAGTCGTAAATAAAACATGTTATTCCCGTGGATGCACTCATACATTTATTGAAAGGGAAATAAACAATAACCCAGCAATAATACGTATACTAGTTTTATCTTATCATAGCATATCATGGGTTCATTTGGTAATGTTCACATATGACATAGATTCTCTGAGTCACCTTACTACTCTTAATTTTATCACAAAAATTGTCAAATAAATGTTTATATTTCGTAACCAGACAATCTTTTTAACTTGTAGTAATTGTATAGGGTTACTGGGTAAGTCGACCTAGATACTTTAATCAGCTATTCTTTCTCGCTTCTCCTATGATGCGCAGGGCAATCACCATGCTAAAATTTCATACCGCGAATGAGATGAGATGAGATCAAGTGGTAGACCATAAAGTAAGTTAGTTAAATTTTGTACTTAAAAAGTTTTCGTAGTGTTCTCGGGGAGAGAAAAAAATCAAATTAAGTGATTTGTCAATACTTATCTACACATTTAAACTGAAGCGTCTTTATGGCCCCTTTACCCGCATAATATTAGGATTTATCAGTGCTTTTGTGAAAAAAAATAACACTGGTAACTGGTTTTAACGTTTTTATCACATTTGGAGCACTCATGTACATGAAATGTCTCAGAAATAAACTAACGGGCCTTCTTCAAAAATCTGCATTACCCAAAAATCTGTAGAAATCCAATCTCTTCAAAGTATATCCTTCTTTAATAACTTGTACGAGCGTATAGTGATTTGGGTTCCTATGGGCCCGCATCATTCAGCACACTACACTTTTTACTATGAGAGTCTAAGTTCTGGGGCAACAATATTGGTTGAAGTTGTTGGAACCGGTCTAAATAGTTGAATTATCTCGTTGCCTTCTTCGTCATGTTCATCAGTGAAACGTGATCTACGCAGATCAGATCGTCGCCTTGAAATAGAGCCGGTGGCTCTAAGTTTCGATTGGCTCTGTTATTATTATTCCTCATCTACATCAGAAGCGAGAATCAAAGTTTGGTTAGCATTAGTCATAAATAGAAAACGAAACAGTCCAAAACTACAAGCCTAGTTTTCAACCAGGTACGACCGTGTTGTACGCTAATTCTTAATGCTCAAGGTCGTTCATCTAAGTTTTTTTATATGAATTCTGATACTATCCTAGACTTTTATACCTTGTTAGATGGCTGACAATATTTTTATACAATTTTTTAGCATTACTGCAGTTTGACTGTAAAAAAAAAAATATGTTTTTTTCTTTTTGCTATTATGAAAGATCTACTTCGGCCCAGTCGGTTAAGTTAACTACAATTCTAGTAACGGAAATTATAAAACAATGTTTTAACTACACAAAAACAGTAAAAAATCTTTTTTTTTTTAAATATTAAAAAAAAAACGGATTTTTTATAAAAAATCTTTAAAATGGTACAACCCTTTAAAGTATTTAGGTCGACTTACCCAGTAATCCTATTTACAATATTTGTAAAATAAAAAAATATCAAACCAACAAACAAATAAATGTTTCGATATTACGTGAAATGATTGATTACGGAATGAAATTAATGTCCATAAAATTAATAATAGGGTTCTAATACTTTTAATTTTCAATGTTAGTATATAAGTTTAAAGAGTAAAACAAAAGAAATAGTCCGAAAGAGTATTCACAGCAGCTAAAAGAGAATAGAAAATGTGGAATAAGTGGAAATTTTTAATATGCTTCGTGATCATTTTCATACATCCGGTTCGTGTCGAGGGTACAATAGAAAACCTATTTTTGATATCACGAGATATGGAAGCGAAATTCCTAAACAATATAACCAAATGCATAACATTTATAGGTAATTCAGAGCTGCAATTCAGACCTACTGTTATAATTGATACTCAATACGTTAATAATAAAACAAAAGGAAATAGGTTTAGAGGAAAATTAGCAAAGAAACTAATGAGAAATGGAATACCATCACTAACAGTTGCTGAGGGCTTAATTTCCAAACTCCAAGATATAAGTTTTAATACCCTGGTGGTTACTTACTTCGAAAATTGTGATGATATAAATAACCTTGACTTTAGCAATATCGACAAAGATATAAAACAACTCATGGTAACATTTGAATCAACTAGTAACAATTGTATCGATAAACTTCAAGAGATAAAAAACTCAGTTGATAAATATGATATTACTTTTATGCTCCTAAATATCAGGGATGACATAAATAAATTTTACACTTTTATACCAAAAATGGATGCAAATACATGTGAAGTCGTTGTTGAACGTTATTACCATATAAATACATGTGCAAATGGATTTATGCAAAGTAATGAAGTCTTCCCTGAGAAAGAACCGATCAATTTGAATAAATGCCCACTCAAAATTGGATTGGCAGCGCTACAGCCTTTCTCACAAATCAATGACTATAAGAGTCTTAAAACATACGATCACATTAACACGACGAAAGGTTTCGATGTCGATATATTAAATATCTTTGCAAACTATTTCAACGCTACTCTAGACTTATTCTACATCTACAGAAAAGAAGAAAATCCTTATGTTAATACTGATTTTATTAATTTTATAATAAATGGTAGTCTTGACATCTGCGCAGGAGGTCTGTATCGAATGTATGGAGATGCAGTAGCATATTCAGGTTTATATGCTAGGCAAGCAATTCTTTGGATCTATGCGGTTAAACGAGATGAAAGATCATGGGCAACATTATTGGATGATATGCATGATATATACATGTTCTTTGTATTTTATGCTAGCTATTCTATTAGCTGGTATTTGATTTGTAAATTTGACGGAGACCCAGTCTCTTTCATAGATACCTTGCTTTATGGTTGGGGAGCGTTAGTTGGAGGAACTGCTTTAAAAGAAGTTACATCTTTAAAACAGAAAATTTTAAATCTAGGTCTCTTCATTATGAGAATTTATCTATCCGCATACATAAGTATTCATCTCTATTCATTCTTAACTATAAAAGAGCCTCCAGATATGTTTATTACTGATGATGAACTAATGGACTCGGGCAGAGTTGCATTTTTGGAAACTTCAACCAAATATTTTGTCGATGATGAAAGATACCTTGAGTTTGGAAACACAACGGTGGAATGTGTGTCTTTTAAAGATTGTATCGAGAAAACGTTACAGCAAAACGGAATGACAATGGTGTTACAAGGAAACTTCTTCCAGTTTCAATCAGATACTGCAATCAATGGCGAAGCAAGAATGATGAAATTACCGGAACATGTTTTGACAGTATACAATGAGATGCTTATAAGAAAAGACAGTCCACTAGTAGATGATCTTCAAAAACTTTTACAAAATTTGTTTGAAGCTGGTATTACTGAAGCTTTATATAAAAAGGCCATAGGTCTATTGGTAATGGAGAAATCTACTCGTGCTCACAGTAATATGCTGTCACACAGTTACAGCTGTCAATCAGGATGTACTATAACAGTAGAACAGTTTGCAGTTATTTTCTATGCTTATAGTTTTGGATGTATTTTATCTTGCGTTGTTTTCGCTCTTGAGCTATATTCTAGAGGAAGACATGTTTTAATCTAAGGAAGAAATTAAAGTTAAACTTTTCTTATGTGTTTTTGTAACGTAGTGTGCGGTACGGATGTTACGTGGTTAATAGCAAGAAGTTTTATATATATTAATCGGTGCGAAAACTTTCGTCGCTAAAACGTTAGATGAATTTTATTAAATCGTTTCAGTAAAACGTTCTGTTATATGATGTAAACTATATTAATATGTATAATAAACATTTCTGCAAATATTGAAGAGGAAGGCTCGAAGAGCCTCGTTGTACTTACTACTGAAATAAAATAGATACTTATATTATAAATGTGCAAGTAAATTGGTCACGCTTTCACGCCTAAACCACTAAACCGATTTCAAATCTAAAGCTACATTATCAGCGAGCTAACTAAGTCTCCTTTCTACCGCGATCACCGACATACACGCCGGTAGAGCCGCGGGCAAATACTAGTAAGTTATAAACACGTTTAATTCTTAGCTACAATTGTTTAAAAGTTATGAAAAGCTACATTTAATATTCGGGCCGACATTTTCGAGATTAACTTTTGATTAACCCTCGAGCTCAGAACAAAACTAGATGAAGTCTTACTTGAGATCAGCGATTTTTGTTAAGTTCAAGTAGCTGACTCAAGAGATTAAGAAGCTCTATTGAATAATTGCCATCCCATCCAAGTGGTGACGGATTAAGAATACGGAATGTCACCACCCCTATTCATCCTATGGGTGTCGTATGAGCCGACTAAGGAACAACTACACAGGACAACAGCACTGCAAAAAAAAAGGAAAACTTGAAACAAACCCTATACCAACACGTCTGGCCAGCGGATAATGATGATGATCATGTTTTATTTAGAAATATTTAATTTATGTTTATCAGCAGTCTGGTTCTCATTTTTTTGGAACGAAGTTCCTTATCGCGCGTTGTGAAAGGGAGCTAGACGGAAAAAATTCGTACGAAAATTTGTAACGACACTTTTTTAATAATATAAATTGACGTCTAACTGTGGATACCATACATTAAATTTGCTTTAACGTTCGCCAACGTCCATACCATGTTGAATACACCAGTTCTCGTCCGATCACCGAAGTTAAGCAACATCGGGCGTGGTTAGTACTTGGATGGGTGACCGCCTGGGAATACCACGGTGATGTTGGCTTTTTGCTCTTTATTTTTCGTGTCCTCTTGTCAGACATTCAGCGCCATCTATCGAATAGATAGGAAATCATTTCGCAAGGAGATTTTACCAATGTATAAATTGTTTTAATTGTTTTTAATATGTAGGTAATAGCCGCTTTCATAGATGGCGTTGTAATTAAAATCGTGTCAAATCAGTTTTACTCGATCGTCACAACTTCGTTCTATCGGGTGTCCCACGACACCACACGGCTTTTTTTTTCTTTTTACGTGTGGAAAACCACCTTGGTTTCCGGCGGACCGACTAAAACCATACGGTGTGCTACTCTGCGCCTGCCTGGCTCTGCCTAGTTTGGGGTCAAACGGCCTTGTGAGATGAGATGTGTTAAGTTATTATTATTATTGAAATATTTATAAATCTACAAGCAGATGCAAATTTGTTTTATGAAAAAAAAACGATTATATTTGTCAACAATTATTTTTAATATACCTATAAAGCTAAATCATAACATGTCGGCTTCACAACAATTTATAAAATATTATGTAACAATTTATAAAATATTTTATAAGTTTTTTCTCTCTCTTTATCTTTCTGTAATATTTTGACGTAATCCGCTTGATAAACAAATCGTTTCAATTATGTAGCTCATCACAAAGTAATGCAATACTGGAGCTACGCGTACGGTAATAATTCACTCCAAGAGAATTATTTTCAATTTATATATTAATATGCGAAGAGAATTCTTTATTACCCTTTTAAGTCAATTTTCAAGAATGTGAAATTTGGCATACGTTAAATTTACCAATTGTGAGAACAAATTTAGAGAGATTATTGTGTTTTTGTTTTTGTATCTTGCCTTAAATAGTAAGGATACTAAATTGCTACCTCTCTTTCTGTTTATTAAACATAATCAATCAAAGTAAATTTTAATTAAAATATATCTAAGGCTCATTCGAAGTCCAACTTTTCAACTATTGCCAACAAAAATTGTTTAAATGGTGCAAGCCTCTAGAGAGTTTTAATACAGAGCTGATTCTCTCTGCTAAATCTAAAATTACTTGCTAAATCTCTGGGATAGAAAATATGTACGTCAGTGAATGTTAAAATTCCTCAATGCCGTGAATAGTATACATTGTATGTGTAAAGGTATAGGTATACTTATATGCTGACATTTAAAAAAACATTAAATTATTTTAAGTAACGTAACTGCAAAGAATGTTAGTATTATTTAGTTCAATCGTAGCACAACTCAAAAATTAAACCAAGAAATAATCTTGGCAAGCAATTTGTAGGTTTCGAAATTTACTGAGAGAATTTTTCGGAAGTATTTATTGTAGTATAAAATTTTATGATATTGGAAGTAAAATAAACGGCTGACAAATTTATTGCCCGTTTATATTACTCATTCAACGTATTCTTTTTATGATTCATTTTCAATACGTTTACTTAATGCTAACAAGTTTTATCTTGTAGTTACCACTTGCAGAACGTAAATATATATACTTCAAAATATACCTAATATGTTAATGTGTATTATTTCATAACAAACATGAGTATATACTGGGCTCTAATTTTATTGCATAAGATAGTGTTTTGTTTATTTTTAAGCATAGGTGTGGTGAAATAGGAATCACAATTAAAATTTCATTAGGATATTACTATTACTTATTACTTGAAACAAACTCTATACACCGATATGCCTGCTGGACGAGGTGGCGAAACTCTTTGAAAGAGTTATCGCCGCCCGTATCAGCCAGTACCTGTCGCGAGTGGGCCCCGACTTATCAGACAACCAATTTGGCTTCCGACAGGGACACTCAACGCTGGACGCGATCGAACGCGGCCGCTCCTTTTCGGAAGAGGTTGTCTGTCGAGGGGGAGTGGCGTTGGCCGTCAGTCTTGACATAGACAACGCCTTTAACTCTCTCCCGTGGTGGGCGAATAGGGAAAAACTTGTGTATCACCAGTTGCCTCCCCACTTGAGAGTCGAGATGGCCAAGATTGCCGAAGGGAGGTCACATGCAGGGTTCCCTCGTGTATGATGCCGTCCTGAGACTAGCCTTCCCCGATTGAGTGTCGTCTGCTATGCGGATGACACTCAATTCATCAGGTAGGTGGGAAAGGAGGTCGCGTCATCTACCGACTGACGCAGGTACTCACTGGGCATGAACGGCACAATGCAGCACACGCTGGAAGACTGCCCCGCGTGGGCGTCTGAACGAGAAGTAATTATTGCTGTCATGCTGGCTCGTGAGGAGGCATGAGCCGCAGTGGTCTCTTTCTGAGAAGCTGTAATGCTCTAGAAAGAGACCGCTGAATGGGATCAGGATAGGGCCGATCCTGAACGTAGAGGACGTCGGCGACGACACCAGCCGTCGACGGGGCAGCGGGCCACCAGAGAGCGGTGCGGTCACCTCTGATGGCAGATTGATGGCTGGGGTAGGGGATAGCGATTGAGGGGGGAAGTGTTTTCCCCTGGGATAGGGCCTGATTAGGCATGGTGTCAGTGAGGCCAGCAGTGGGCTGTTATAAGCTGTTGATGATGATAATTACTATGAGATGCAAACAACACAACACATCAACCACAACTCCACAGAAACAGGTTGAAAGTAACAACAGATTATGCGCAGTTTCATTGAGATACTCGTGATATCACTTGCACATCGTAACTAATTGTTCGCAGCTACTTCAAGTATCTGCTTTTACTCGACAATAATTTATTCATTTTGTAGTTTAGATTACTCGAGACTTAATCTAGTTAATAATTTCAAGTTACATCTTTGGTTCAGTTGCTTGGATTCCCATTGTTTTCTGTGTTCGAGTGTTTTGCAAGTTTGTAATCTTACGCAAAATATATTTGACTACCCACTTTTATTTTATATTATATTCAAACGCTCAATGGATTTATTTTGTTTACTTTTATGTATGTTTTCTCAGTAAGTGAATTTTGTAAATTCTTTTGAGAAATAAAGATTCTTAAACCAAAAAAAAAAGCCTTAATTAACAGTATTCTATAGCAGAAGCCTTTACTCTAAACGTTAAGATACTCATACCTTCCGCTTGACTTCGACCTGTTCCACGCATAGTCTTACCATCTACTTAACACTATTGTTTCTTTTGAAGATGATTGACATCAATTTTGTGTATTGCAATCATAATATGTAGGTCATTGGCAAATTATTGAAATGAAACAAAATTTAATTATTAAACTTTTTGGTCGACCTTACCAGAACCTTACCTTACCTTACCAGGTGGGTTTTGTTAATATTGTGTGTGTGTATATTTCTTTGACACCCTTTGTCGTCTAAACGGATTTATGGCTTTTGGAGTTTGAGGTGTCGCTAGATTTGTTTTAATTGTGAGTGTGGCACTTAATTTTTTACACGCTTTTTATTAGCTTCACCTGTATGTTTGCTTGTAACCGACTCCTTTGGGCGTGATTTTGACTGACTTTAAAACTAAAAAAATAAAATAAAAAAATAATAACAATAAACTATTTTTTTTGGTTTGGTTTTCTATAAAAAGCGTGTCTTTTAGTTTTTTAAACTGTTTTTTTTTTTCAATAAAATTGCTGGTTGGTAATTTTTAAGTAGACATTATCACGCAGACTGGCTTTTCGTTTTGTGATAATTAGGTAATTGAACATTTCTTTCAGTTTACTTTAAGTGCCATACCGTCACTAAAACCACGAATTCAAAAAAAATTGATCTTCATGAGTCTGGATGCACCAGCATTTTGACCCATCAAGGAACAGTCGTGCTGCTAGCTGCTATGAATAAAAATACTAAATACACACCAAGAAATATTAACTTATTGACTGGCTTTTACACCAATATCAGTAAATCTGATCCTAACCACACATTTGAAGGTACTGAAAATAATGAT